GCAGTCCACAGGGTGATGACAAAGAGGGTGAGTCCACAAAGAGATGAAAAAAAAAAAACGTGTCAGGCTATTGCTATGTCAGCAGTCCACAGGGTGATGACAAAGAGAAAAAAACGTGTCAGGCTATTGCTATGTCATCAGTCCACAGGTTGATGACAAAGAGAAAAAAAATGTGTCAGGCTATTGCTATGATCAGTCCACAGGCCAAAGAGAAAAAAACGTGTCAGGCTATTGTCAGCATGACAAAGAGAAAAAAAAAACGTGTCAGGCTATTGCTATGTCAGCAGGCCACAGGGTGATGACAAAGAAAAAAAAACGTGTCAGGCTATTGCTATGTCAGCAGGGGTGATGACAAAGAAAAAAATACACAGGGTGATGACAAAGAGAAAAAAAAAAGAGAAAAAAAGTCAGGCTATTGCTATGTCAGCAGGCCACAGGGTGATGACAAAGAGAAAAAAACGTGTCAGGCTATTGCTATGTCATCAGTGCACAGGGTGATGACAAAGAGAAAAAAACGTGTCATCAGGCATCACAGGGTGATGACAAAGAGAAAAAAAAAAGTGTCAGGCGATTGCTATGTCTGCAGTCCACAGGGTCCAAAGAGAAAAAACGTGTCAGGCTATTGCTATGTCAAAAGTGCAAAAAAAGAGTAAAAAAATGTGTCATGTCAGCAGGCCACAGGATGATGACAAAGAGAAAAAAAAAACGTGTCAGGCTATTGCTATGTCAGCCCACAGGGTGATGACAAAAAAAAAAAACGTGTCAGGCTATTGCTATGTCAGCAGTCCACAGGGTGATGACAAAGAGAAAAAAAACGTGTCAGGCTATTGCTATGTCTGCAGTCCACAGGTTGATGACAAAGAGTAAAAAAAATGTGTCAGGCTATTGCTATGTCAGCAGTCCACAGGGTGATGACAAAGAAAAAACGTGTCAGGCTATTGATGACAAAGGTGATGAAAAAAGAAAAAACGTGTCAGGGCTATTGCTATGTCATCAGGCCACAGTGTGATGACAGAGAGAAAAAAAGTGTCAGGCGATTGCTATGTCAAAAGTGTGATGACAAAAAGAAAAATATGTCAGGTTATTGCGATGTCATCAGGCCACAGGGTGATGACAAAGAGAAAAAACGTGTCAGGCTATTGCTATGTCAGCAGTCCACAGCGTGATGACAAAAACAAAAAAACGTGTTAGGCTATTTCTATGTCTGCAGTCCACAGGTTGATGACAATGAGAAAAAAACGTGTCAGGCTATTGCTATGTCAGCAGTCCACAGGGTGATGACAAAGAGAAAAAAAAGTGTCAGGCTATTTCTATGTCAGCAGTCCACAGGGTGATGACAATGAGAAAAAACGTGTCAGGCTATTGCTATGTCAGCAGTTCACAGGGTAATGACAAAGAGAAAAAACGTGTCAGGCTATTGCTATGTCAGTCCACAGGCTGATGACAAAGAGAAAAACCTATGGCTATGTCAGCAGTCCACATGGTGATGACAAAGAGAAAAAACGTGTCAGGCTATTGCTATGTCAGCAGGCCACAGGGTGATGACAAAGAGAAAAAACGTGTCAGGCTATTGCTATGTCAGCAGTCCACAGGGTGATGACAAAGAGAAAAAACGTGTCAGGCTATTGCTATGTCAGCAGTCCACAGCGTGATGACAAAGAGAAAAAACGTGTCAGGCTATTGCTATGTCAGCAGTCCACAGGGTGATGACAAAGAGAATAAAACGTGTCAGGCCATTGCTACGTGATCAGGCCACTGTGTGATGACAAAGAGAAAAATATGTCAGGTTATTGCTATGTCATCAGTCCACAGGGTGATGACAAAGAGAAAAAACGTGCCAGGCTATTGCTATGTCATCAGTCCACAGGGTGATGACAAAGAGAAAAAAAACGTGTCAGGCTATTGCTATGTCAGCAGGCCACAGGGTGATGACAAAGAAAAAAAAACGTGTCAGGCTATTGCTATGTCAGCAGGCCACAGGGTGATGACAAAGAGAAAAAAAAGTGTCAGGCTATTGCTATGTCAGCAGGCCACAGGGTGATGACAAAGAGAAAAAAAAGTGTCAGGCTATTGCTATGTCAGCAGGCCACAGGGTGATGACAAAGAGAAAAAAACCTGTCAGGCTATTGCTATGTCATCAGTGCACAGGGTGATGACAAAGAGAAAAAAAACGTGTCAGGCTATTGCTATGTCATCAGTGCACAGGGTGATGACAAAGAGAAAAAAAACGTGTCAGGCTATTGCTATGTCTGCAGTCCACAGGGTGATGACAAAGAGAAAAAAACGTGTCAGGCTATTGCTATGTCATCAGTGCACAGGTTGATGACAAAGAGTAAAAAAATGTGTCAGGCTATTGCTATGACAGCAGGCCACAGGATGATGACAAAGAGAAAAAAAAACGTGTCAGGCTATTGCTATGTCAGCAGGCCACAGGGTGATGACAAAGAGAAAAAAAACGTGTCAGGCTATTGCTATGTCAGCAGGCCACAGGGTGATGACAAAGAGAAAAAAAAACGTGTCAGGCTATTGCTATGTCATCAGTGCACAGGTTGATGACAAAGAGTAAAAAAATGTGTCAGGCTATTGCTATGACAGCAGGCCACAGGGTGATGACAAAGAGAAAAAAAACGTGTCAGGCTATTGCTATGTCATCAGTGCACAGGGTGATGACAAAGAGAAAAAAAACGTGTCAGGCTATTGCTATGACAGCAGGCCACAGTGTGATGACAAAGAGAAAAAAAACGTGTCAGGCTATTGCTATGTCAGGAGGCCACAGGGCTAAGACGAAAAAAAACTGTAGGTCTAAGGTTCAGATTGATGACACCATCAATGTAAAGTTTTCTTCTATATTTGGTGTGGGGTGGGGTGATTGAGGAAATTGAGAATATTTTATTTTTTGTGGTGAATTTTTCTTTTTTCCTTCATATTGCCATTTTGCTTTTCTCATTTGAGTAGATTTTTTAAACTTGCTTATTTCGATTTAAAAAAAATATTCTTCATGTAATACAAGATTCAAAGCCACACAGGTTTAACGGTTACTGAATGAGTTGGGTGTTATGTAAGCTTATAAAAGATAGATAACAATTGATCGGGAATTTAAAGATTCTAAGACTCTAGGGAAGCTTCCCCACAGGAGTCTGTTTTAACAAAGTTAGAAGAAATTTGCTGAGTGGAATTTCTTTCATACCAATGCAATACGTGGGGAACGTAGGTGATTCAAACTTGTGGATGGAGCAATGCGGGTTTTAGTTTTTTTTTGTTGGGCTTTAAAAAGTGGTTATCATATGAACATTTGCCCTGATAATAGCGATGGCGTAGTAGTCGGCATGTCACGTTCCGTTCTTTTTCATACTGTTGTTCACCCAATAAAAGGCACGAGAGACTCACAAGTTAGAATGTTTCTGAACGAGAATGGTGTAAACTTTGCAACTAAGAAGGGCATATTATGAGCATATGTTGGACTTCAAGTGGTTAAGATCTCAATGATCTCGGGAGTTTGTTTCGCAAAGTAACAGTTCTGGTAAAGGATCTGTTTGAATGGAACTTCATCCTTACAAATGGAATACGAGGAAAATAAAGAGGATTTGACCGTGTGTACCTGGCATGATGGGTGTTGCTTGTGTAGATCAGAAGTGGTGCAATTAAAGAATGTAACTCGTCAGAATATTTACCATAAAATTGCGACAGAATAGTGAAAGGCTTGTAACATTTCGACTATGGGAAAGTAGCTGCAGGGGGAGAGATATAATTCATCACCCACAAAGTCGTGCAAACGCTTTTGAATTCTGTTAAAGATAGGAAGAGAGGATCGGGTAGTATCATCCAAAATATGAAAATATAAACCATTTTTGGACTGATCTGACTCTTCTAATGATAGAGACTTGCAGGCGGTTGGGAATTCAGTTAATTCCAGGAGCAGTACGCAGCGCCGACCATTTTGATTGATTGGTTGGTTGGGTTTTTTATGGCATATCAACTACTATAGGTCATTTAATGCCAAATCTAGTTATATATATATATATATATATATATATATATATATATATATATATATATATATATATAAATATATAGTACTATTAAACGTATATAGATGGCAACATTATTTTTTTCAAAAACGTAAAGCTGGCAACATTATTTATTCAAAAACATTATCAGAGGCCTTACTGTTGGATGTAGTTTATCGTCATACCCAGGACGCGGATGTAGTTTATCGTCATACCCAGGACGCGGATGTAGTTTATCGTCATACCCAGGACGTGGGTAAGATCTGGAAAAAAAACTGGGAGTTCATTATATGCCCATACCTGGGACCCTAACAGGTGCTACCATCCCGGGTCAGGGTGGACCTGGGAACACCAGTAATTAAGAGGTGGTTCCACGCTCCTCAAAACCTCCTGATCAGAGGCCTTGCTGTTGGACGTAGTTTATCGTCATACCAAGGACGGACCATTTTGAACTGTGAGCGCTAGGTTAGAGAAAGAAATCAGCTATCAGGCTCGGGTCAGCTAGAATTTGGAAGGTGCACGAATCGATATTAACTATTGATCTGAGAATGTTTTTGAGCATTTCTATAATCCAGAAAGAGGATTAAGCCGACGAGAGATATTGAAGGGGTGCCTTTATTGATTGCATGGGATTCAGAGGATTGGCCATTAATAATGACATTCATGCATCAACCTGATACGAATAACACGATGAAATAAGTCATCGCCATAACATCGCGTAAACGCCTTTTGAAGAAGGGAAAGAGAGGAATGTGCAGCTCCAGAACAGATATGACAACAGCGTCCCATTTAAGCTTGGTCGGAGGCTTGTAAAAATAAAGTATGGGAGGAGAAGTCAAGTATTTCTTGAAGAAGTAGGCTGACGACGTTATTAGGTTGAAACACCGGTTTTCGCAGGATCACCGACGTTAACCAAAGTCGAGACTAGTCAGTATCTAGTTGGGTGACCACGAAGAAATACCAGGTACTGTAAGTTTGGATGCGCAGATAGCTTACAGTCACATCACGTTGAAACACTGGTTCCAGTACGATGACCGAAGTTAAGCAACGTCAAACCTGGTCAGTACTTAGATGGGTGACCACGAAGGAATACCAGGTGCTGTAAG